GGGGGGGGGGGGGGGGGGGGGGGGGGGGGGGGGGGGGGGGGGGGGGGGGGGGGGGGGGGGGGGGGGGGGGCTTCGTGGAAGAGCTTCTCTGTTAGAGGGAGAAGGTGCATGCATGAGGTCATGAGAGCGGTGCGTCCCTTCAGTGGTGCTTTGCAAAGTATTCGATAGGACCGAAACACACACTTACGCCGTTCCAACCGACTCGATCGAGGGGGCCAACACTGGTTTCTCACAGAAGTGAAGATCTTCTACTGCCAGCAAGGCATCCCGCAGCTTCTTGCACTCCGACAGAAACCTGATGTCCTGTGCATCCAGGTCGTGACCGCCGCAAACATCGCCGTTGCGACCGTCATCAAGTCCCCCGCCTCCGACAAGGCCACTGTCAATTCCTTCTCGTCTACTGCCGTCCCCGTCTTCATGAGCAGATCCGAGAGATTCCTCCAAAAAGTTGTGTACGTCGATGCTCGACTTGCTCTCGTTCATCCCTGAAATGGAACTGAACCCCGACAACGAACTATTGTGCGGTGAGTTGTCCAGTCTCCAAGTGCCGGACGGGCGTCGGTGTCTACCCAACACCCCCACTCCCGCTGTCACTCCCGCTACCATCCCTGCCTCCTGAGCCTTTTCTTGGCCGTTTTCCGAGATCTGCACCTGCTGGCGTCTACTACCGCTCGTAACAACGCTAGAGGGCTGAGGGCGATATTTTTTCTCCGCGACGTCGTCGTCGGCGTCGTTGCCGGCTGCTGCCGCCGGCGAGTCGATCTCCGTACAAGCCGCGAGGTTTGCGGCGAGGGAGCAATCGCGAACTCGTCCTTCCGAGGCTTTTCGTGTATACCTCGGCTTCTCCACCAGCGACCGCCTCGACCTGGTCGTGCTTTTTCTCGGATGGATACGCTGGCCGCTTTCAGGGCGCGCTAGCTGGGGGTCCGTGGTACTAGAGATGAGCGAACCGTGACCGAAATGCAGCGACAGGAGTGAGGAACGGCGCCGCCTGAAATCCTCCCACTGGGGGGAGCGCTTGAGAAGCCACGGCCTCGCATCCGGGGATAAGCCGGTCTTGCGGGGCGAACACGAAGAAGATTTACTCGATGCCGGTGTCCAAGAGCCGCCGCCCGGGTGCCCCTGCTTTGCCTCGTAAACAGCGTGGAGCCGGTCGCCGTCACTCTCCTCCTCCCCAACATCGCTTTCCAGCCAAGCCTGTCGGTGCCAAGAGGTAATGCCGGCCGACAGCAATGTCGGGCATGCATGAGGATCCATGGCTTCGTGAATAGAGTCATGAACGGCAGGTACACGAAATTTCAACGCAGGGCACGCATAATCGGTTTTCACAAACGACGTACACCAAGCGAACACTGCGTAGCGCCATCTAACCGTAACCGTTTACGTTGTTGAACGTGATTTCGTGATTTCAGTACGATCTCGAGCTGCAACCTTTTTGACCGGACCAACAAGGCACACACTGGCGTTACACTCTAGATACTGTTTATAGTTGAGGTATGAGTACTGCGATGTTGCACCAAAACAACCACGGTGAAAAAAACACGGTGAGGGCAGCAGGGCATGAATCCGAAAAGTTCAGCAACAGAGAGAAGCGGGAAAGTCTACTTCGTATTGTTCAGGTAGCCTGGAAGAAGCGGAACATATTACTGAGCGACTTGCGGGAAGAGTCGAACCAGCTGAGACACTTCTTACGGGCGCAAGGAAGTGCAACATAACTCAAACGCTCAATCACCTTCCAGCGGGAGTCATCTTCTTCGGCCGAGTACGAATCCTCGAACATCAAACAAGCGTCGCCTTTGTAGTCGTGCTTGTGGGCTGTCCATCTCCTTCCTGTCACCCCCTTCCTCCGTGTTCTGCCCCTTGCAGGTTCATCGTTAAAATACGAACTATATGGCCGATTCCACAGCTCCAACCCGCCACGCTCTTCATCACCCCCAGCCGGTGATGTGTCCGTCCCAGACGAAATAACGTTCTCCATGACGCCCGTTGGACTCGTAGGGGGGGACCGGTATTGGACGTCGTCATTGTCGCCACCATGACGCCCGATAACGGTTGGCACAAAATGAGCCGTGCGTTCATTATTGCCACCGATGTTACTGCGCACAATAGGCGTTGAATTCCTTAGGATAACGTCCCCCTTTTGGGCTTCAGGTGCGGAGATAGGAAGCATGAAACCCGCGGCTCTTCCAACCCGTTCTTTGTCGTAACCCACCCTGTGGAAGCCTTCCGTAGCGTCCGGGTCCTTTTCGATGGACCTATTCGACTTACCACCGGCGCTGCCGCCACGTTTGCCGTGCAAGTCACCATCAGTAGCAGAACCCGTGGCAGCGTTTTGCTGGTATGCGGCTACGCTGGTTATTTGATCACCAGCACTTTCCCCTCGTTCGTCACCGCCATACTTGGTGTCGCCCGAATCTCTTGGTTGCTTACTGCCGTCCTCGTCATCCGAGTTCCAGAGGAATCTAGCGATTTCGCTGTAAACCACGTGCTGTCGCTCAACGGCAGTGTTGCCTTCTTCGCCGCCCTTCTGACCCCGGTAATTGCTCACACCAATGGTCTCGCCCAGATTTTCCAAGGTTCGATGCTGCAGATCTGTAGGCGGCAACTTATGCTGCCGAGGGGGGACGCCGCGGTTGTCGTGCTCTCGACGAGCACCCGTGCGAGCAGCTGCTCCCCGACGGAATTCGCCGGGTTGTCCACGAGGGTGACCACTGTGACAAGCAGCAGCAGTACTACCGCCACTATCACCACCAATAGCACTTCCACTTTTGTCTCCTCCGCGGCGCCTACCCCTTGGCACGTTTGGAATGCCGTCATTGTTGTCGCCATCGTCCGAGAATAAGAAATTGTTGATCAATCCTCTAGTCTTGCGCTTGAATTCGTCATCAGCGTTTGCTTCGCCATCATCATCGTTGGCTCTCGCTGACCCAATGTAGGCAGTGGCTCTGTCCGGGTCAGGGATATCGCCATTACCCGTGGCAGCCCTTTCGCAGCGTCGTGGATTCGTGTGGCCATCACCTTGTTGGCGTTCGTGCATGTGATCGGTGTCGTACGTACCACCTTGACTTTTCCGACCAAGTATGTTCCTTGCTTCCCTCTTCCCGCGACCGGTTGAATTCAGGCTATTTGCGCTAGTGTAGGTTCCATCCGAACGGTTCGTGCGTTCACAGCTCCCCACGTCTCCCGCATGTAACTGCTTGTTGTCTGTCACCGCTTCCTCTGCGATGATACCTCCCTCTCTAGGTTCGGAGCCGCTACCATTGTTGTTGTGATGATCGGAATCTTCGTTGCTCCATAAAATGCGTTCCATCTCTGGACTCATCCGTCGTTCTTTTTTTGTGCCAACGACAAAGTTTGAATGAGCTGTTGCTGCTACTTCTGGATGATGTAGTTGCGGCTGTGTCTGCGTGCCTGCGATTGTAGCATCATGGTCGTTGTCGACTGGTTGCATGCTTTTTTTTTGCGTTGCCGCTGCTTCCGCCCCCGCCTCCACGCCACGCTCGCTCTTGCGCTCATCGTCCGTGGAGTTAACCTCGTCATTTTCGGGCAGATGTCCCCTCCAAACACTGGCCCACCGTGAGCTTGTCGCACTGTCTAAGGTGGAAGTAGTAGCTTCCGGTGAGGGTGGGCACGGGGGTCGTGCGTGGATACCGTGACGAGCAGCGGGGCTTGCGGAATAGTCGCACACCGCCGGCGTGACTGGGGGCGTGGGGTGGTCCTCTCCTTTGGACAGTACCAGTTGACCTGAGCAATGAAGAAACGCAATCGCCAAGCAACAAAGCGAATATCGAGAATTATTGCCAACTTACAGTAGTATGCTTCGACGATGGGAAACCTTTTCGAAGGAATTCTTGGATGCGCGCGTGAGCCACCAGCACCACCCACTGTGGCACTGATACTTTCTCGTTTTGGAGAGAGGCCGCTTGGTGTGCTCGATGGTTATACTCGCAAGAATTTCGTCCAGCATGCGCGAGTGTATATTGAAGTCAGTTTGAGAACTGGAAAGCGAAGCAAGGTACATTGCTCCGAGAGCATTTTCGATGCGAAGCCTTGGGACAGCGGGTAGAGATGAAGAGGGAATTGTGCCCGAGCTGCTCCGTACCTACCGGCGATATGAGTCTGTGGGTGAGACACAGCGTGGGGTATGTGATCGAAAAGACAGCGAGCCACCTGCCACGTAACGTAGCCCACACAGTCGCTGCATTAACCCAACCGAAACAGCACGGCGCAATCAACATGCACGGAACAAAAAGCAGCAGGTTGTTGTTGTTGTTTCTCACATTAGCTCTAAAAAAAAAAAAAAAGATTGGGAGCCCGTGGTCTCAAAACCCGGCATACACGACCCCACGAAGAAACAGAAAAAAATAGGGTACAAAAACCACTCGGAAGAGAAACAAAATGATAGAAAGAAAGACCAGCTACCGCACCAAACGAGAAAGAGCGTCGAGG